AAACCCCTCCAGTATTTTCTGTTGGTCATTGAGGGTCCCAAGTTTGGCCCAGATCCATTGTTGGCAGAAGTTGCAGTACTCTCTGAAAGTGGAGGCCATTTTGAGATATATATATATATATACACACACACACACACACACACAAACAAACTTTGACACATACAAATATATATACACAAACAAACAAACTTCTACTTTTATTATATGTATGTATGATATAGAAGATATAGATTGATTCTGACATTTTGGAGGATGGAATTGAAGACGCTTCTTGTGATGTTCACATGGAAGTTTGGTCAGGATGCTAGGGATGTCCTTCTCTGTAGATGGCACTAGCTGTTTTGAGCCTGTAGAATTCCCTTCCAAGGAAAGGTTACGTTCTCCCTTCCCTCTTGTCCTTGCATCACCAGGCAAAGATCTTGTGCAGTCAGACTTTCTGCAACCAACTGACTGCTGAGAATGGAACTTGGATTGATGCTATACCCTTTCTGATGGCCTTTAAATTAATTTGTCATTCAAGTGTATTTATAGTTTGTTTAATTATGCTTTGGCATATCATGTTTTGTCTGCGCCTGTGTCTTAATCTTGAAGTCCAGAATCTGTGAGAAGCTGGGGGATAAAAATCAAATAAAACAAAGCAAAACAAAATTGAAGCTTGTTAGCAGATGGAGACCTTGAACTTGCTGATATACCAGTATTTATGTGATCCTTTGAATTGTGACATGGCCTCAAAGGATGAAATGTGTTGTGTGCCTTCTAGGATTTTAAATTCCAAAACAAAGTTGCAGACCTATAAACTCTTACTTGGAAGAAAGTCTTATGCACTAAATCAAACTTACTTCGGAGTGGGCGTGTGTAGGATTGCAGTGTCAAGCACATTAGCAAGATTTTTTTAAAATGCCTGTTTGAGATGTTCAGTTTATCAGTGGGCCCTTGGGAATTGCTGAGATTTGGTTCCAGGACTCCCTGTAGATAAAAAACGCCATGGATGCTCAACTGAAATTAATGTATGTAAGTCAGAACAGATACATTTTTGTTGTATAACTCCAGTGATACACACACACACACACCTCTTGAAGTGTATGTGTGTATAGGTTAAGGTAAAGGTTTCCCCTCACATTACGTCTAGTCGTGTCCAACTCTGGGGGGTGGTGTTCATCTCCATTTTTAGCCAAAGAACCAGTAGACACATCCAAGGTAATGTGACTAGCATGACTGCATGGAGTGCCCCTTTATTCACATTTGCATGTTTTTGAACTGCTAGATTGGCAGAAGCTGGGCCTAACAACCTGCTCTCTGGATTTGAACTGCCAGCCTTCTGGTCAGCAAGTTCAGCAGCTCAGTAGTTTAACCCGCTGCACCACCAGGGAGCCCGAGTGTGTGTGTGTGTGCCCATGTGTGTGTGTGTGTATGCTCAGACATACACACACACACACACATATATAGACACATAACCTTCTGGAAGTGTGTGTGTATATGCATGCTTTGGTGTTTGTTTTGTTGGCTGTGCCCTTGTTCAGAAAATTTCACCTCTGTGTGAAAATTGGATTTTTTTTAAAAAAAATAGCTTGTTGTGGAAACAAGAATTAGTGATGAATCTTTAGTGGAGACACCTTTCCCCCATGATAACTCTTTCAGCACTAATTTTTTCTTCCTGGGGTAGATTTCTCTCAACTTCCTGTTGTCTCACCCCCGTTCTTAAGTATGAGTTGTTTGGAAGCCAGATATTTGTGACTTTGGGACTGCCTGTAATATGAGCAATTGCAGAAACCCTAGCTTCTTGAATGCTTGGAATGAAAGAAACTCAGCAAAACCTGAAGCTTTACTCAGTTAAAATTCTAGGCCTAAATTAGTTGCACATTTTAAAGAATATTTGAAACCATGATCCATTCAGAAATTTTGATTTCTCAAGTTTTAGCTGAGTTAACATGTTAACTCTCGTTGGAACTAAAATTGGATTGAGGCCTCGATTTTCTAAAAGGAAGGAAAATAGCCATGGCAAGAGACAAGATGATAACCCAAATTAACATTTGTTTGCCTCAAGCAAGCTATTTGTGTTGCACATCTTGAGTTGTTATGAGCAAGAAGTATTAAGTAAATAAGTGGCTGCTAAGATCCTGCTGCTGTCTACATGTCTTGCCTATTTGCATTTTCAATTCATAGCTGACAGTGCTGTTTTTAAGAACTGAGTCACTCGTAAACTTGCATATATGTTCTCAGGGCAAGTTGCAACAGACATAAGGTTTGACTCTGGATGTGTGTTTTCTCAGTAGACTGGAAAAAAGTATCTGTATGAAGGATGAAACTTTTCTATTTGACTGTCACAATACTATCTAAATCCCAAACTTAACAGCCAATTCAAATACATTTTATTTGGCTTTAAAGCATTAGAAGATGCTGAAGAGTTGGCCCAGTTTCAAGGGGAAAAGCCATAATCTAAAGGGATGTTCATAGGCAAACCTGGGTGCAAATAAATGCATGTGTGCCACATCATGTCTGAATGGTGCATGTTTAGAATTGTTTATGTTTCTTCTCAAACCAAGAAGCAACATGTCAGTTCTTTTTAAGCCCTTGCATTTAGATATTTAGTGATTTTTTACCAAAGTTGTTGTTTTGTTTATAGTGTTCATGTAGATTTCTGTTAGAACATACAAGGATTTCCAGATGAGAATATCTCAGTAATTGAGTTCTTGTTTCAGAAGTATTTAACATACTAAAGCTTCTAACTTAGATGCAAGATATTGATGCCTTCTGGATGCCATCGGCTCTGTCATACAGCAAATTGACGTTTTTACATGGCCCTGTGAAACTAAATCTTAAGATCTTAGGCCATGTCCACGAAACTGCCACATCAAAGACAGAAGAAAGATGATTTTCATCAAGTTTTATCATTGTTCTGTGTAATTAAGCTTTATTTGAAGTCTTGAATATTCTAATACTAAAAATGAACATGCTACCATTATATGCAAAGCAGGCTTTCTACTCGGGGTTGTTTCCCCCCTCTACCCATGTTCTGCATGTTTGTTTGTTTTTGAAAAAAACATAGTAGCAGGATTGGGGTTGCTATCTTTCTGGAAAACTCTTGGTCACAAAGACAAAAGAAAATAAGTTAGAGGAAAAGGTTGGATAACATTTCCAGTCAATGTTCCACCCATCTATTATGGTCATTATAAGAAATGGAGTGGATTAACAATATGCTTCCAGGGTTACTTAATAATAATAATAATAATAATAATCTTTATTTGTACCCCGCTACCATCTCCCCAAGGGACTCGGTGCGGCTTACATGAGGCCAAGCCCAAAATACATCAGTAAACAAACATCAATAAAACACTCAATAAAATACAAATCATATAAATCACATAAACAGGATATAACTAGGATAGGGTTTTCAGAAATGAGGGAACGTAGTCAATCCTAAATCTTATTTTTTATGCTGAACCTTTGTATGTGTGCACATCAGTTGTGACAATTATGGCAGTGAATTTTGACATTGAGCTTCATTTGAAACACCCGAAGGGTCAAAGTTTGCCCATGCCCGTTCCAAGTATTGGAACTATGGCAGTTAAAGTAGTATGAAAAGGCATTAATTTTCCAGTGTCGATCAGGCATCTTCAAACGATGGCTGTCAAGCTGTTTGGGCCTCCAACTCCCAGAATTCCTGACCATTGAACAAGCTGGATAGGGTTTCTGGGAGTTGGAGGCCAAAACGTCTGGAGGCCAGAGTTTGAGGATGCCTGGAATAGATGCCCCTTTATACTACCAACTGTTCCCTTAGATAGTCTCTAAGAGGCCATAAAATCCCTCTGCGTACTGATATTCCAGAGTAATAGGGCTTTGTCTTTGAATTCAGGCCTACTTTGGTAGGGAGGGGGCTGCCATGTGAAAGCTGACTTTTTTGGGCAGCTATTCTTATCACCATAGTGCAAAATTGTAATTGTTTGTGGTATACATAGATAACCCTTCTCTAATTTGGTAACGTTGCTTAACAAAGTAACCTCACTGGTCTGACTTGAAAATAATGCTAATGTCAGTACTCACATATAGCCACCAGACTTTATCTGAAGCTGCCACACTAGAGGTTTTAACTATCTTGCTAGAGAAGGCCTGATTCAGCATATTGAGAAGTAATATATTTGGTTGGAGCATTCAGCAAAAGCAGCCTGAATATCTGTAGGAAAGCATAATTGTTTCTGAGTGATTAACCCAGCTAAAATTTACTGTAATGGGTAAATGGAAGATTATTCGTTTATTATGTGTTTCAGTTCTGTTAGTGGACCAAAGAAAAGGCAGGTGAAATGTACAGTAAAGGGGGAGGCACTTCCAAAGTTTGTTTAACATTGTACTGAGAAAGGAAAAATTAGTAATGCTCCCATAGTATAGGATGATGACTTGTATGGAAAGTTGAACTACATGATGAGGAAGGTGGTTATCATTTGTGAACATATCCTAGGTTGGGTGCCAAACCATGGCCTTAGGCTCACATTTGCATAACCCAATTCACACAGGCACACAGGAGTACTCAGGCTTCCATTTTCAAATACTTCAAGTGTTTCCTATCCATTGGGGTAGATAGATATGATAATGGTTAGCTTTTTTTTTTTGCTTAAAATAAGAAAAATGGCAACAGATGTTGAGGATGTTGGGGAAAGTTCATTTTCTTAGCTTTGACCAGGCCATACTGATTGCTAGGGTCCCCCCCTCCCTGAAGCTAAAGTTATTCTTGCAAGCTTGATTTCATTGAGTTGTCAAAGGCTTTCATGGTCGGAATCACTGGGTTGCTGTGAGTTTTCCGGTCTATATGGCCATGTTCCAGAAGCATTATCTCCTGACGTTTCACCCACATCTATGGCAGGCATCCTCACGACCTCTGAGGATGCCTGCCATAGATGTGGGTGAAACGTCAGGAGATAATGCTTCTGGAAAATGGCCATACAGCCTGGAAAACTCATGGCAACCCTTTGATTTCATTCTTTACAAGAACTTTCTTCTTTTGACAGGCAAAGCGAAGGCTGGAACTAGGAGAGAGTGGACAGCAGTTTCTCACCGAAGGATTAAGGACACCAAAGGGGAAAGGAAGAGCTGCAACTAGAAGTCCAGATAGTCCAAGAAGTAAGGAATCTTTGATTATTTATGTGAAAAAAGTGGTGGAGGTCCCAACATTTTGAGTCTCTGATAAAAGAAAGGGAAAAATAACCCCATGCAAAGGACTGAAGTACATTTCGTAGTTATTTACCGCTGAACTCTTTTCAATCAAAATTATGACATCGCATCTCACACCACAATTTCTCTGTTATCCTATGTCTGTGAAAATAAGTGAAATGAGTCTCAGTACACTGAATCATTGGTTTACCGTAATGAAATAGTATAACCACTACTTTGAGGACTCTGTGGTAATCTGTAAGAATTCCTATTTGTGCCAAACATTTGATATTCTACTCATACTGAATTTAAATTGCCTGTTATGTATAATTCAGCTTCAAAAAAGAATCTTAAAACCTGGCTTTTCCGCTGCACCTTTAGCGAGTAGGTGCACAACATGATATTATTGCTCCCCTCAACGCTTCTGCCACTGGCATACACGCCCCACAAGTTTAGTTTCACAACTCTGTTTGTTTTTATGAGCCCCCTGCAAATAACCCAATCCTATTTTTATCTCATCAGAGTCTTTTAATTGTTTTATCCTGTACATATGGCCCGCCCACTGTTATTGTGACTGTGTTTATTGGAATTTTTTTCCCCTTTTCCTTATGTAATTTTGATGATGTTGCCTGTTGTTTATGTTTTTGGTTTTATTCTGTTGTAATATGTTGTCCGGGCTTGGACCCATGTAAGCTGCTCTGAGTCCCCACTGGGGAGAAGGTGGTGGGGTATAAAAAAAGATTAACGTTTCAGGTTGGTAAACAAAGACACGGATGGAAATCTGTGCTGAAGGAGCTAGCTGGCATCCTCAGGGGGACAGGCTTGGGTTGCTTGCTGAACTTAGATTTATAATCCTGCTCACATTTTCTAATTCTGCAAAAATAGGACCCCACACAGTTTTTTTGAAAGGTTGAAAGAACGATTGGCCCAGTAAAACAGATTTTATACCACCACACAGTAATGCTGCGTTTTTCAGTGTCTTACAAAGACCCTTAAACGTTACTGTAGGAATTGTTATGCTGAATGATAAAAGAGCAGTTGTTCAGTGGTTATAATTAATGACTGTTGTTCTGAAACAGTAGTTCCCAATCTTTGATTCTCCGAGTGTTTTGGATTTTTAACTCCCACAACTCCTAACAGCTGGTAAATTGGTTGGGATTTCTGAGAGTTGAAGTATAAAACTTCTAGGTAGAGGACCAAAGGTTGGAACCTACTGTTCTAAAAGAAGAATTTATGACATTTTATGAGCTTTTATAAGCAATTATACAGCCATTATTTCAAGTCTCTATATGTGCACTTGTCTGAGGTTTAAGGTCTGCTGAAGTGGCCCTCCTCTTGTGTTCCACCTGTCAGAGCATGTTTTTAACACCACCTAAGCCCTTTATATTATTTTATGTTATTTTAATGCATGTTTGATCTGCCATGCATGTGACTGAGTGTACCTGAGCAAGAAAGACTCCAGATCAGTGGTTCTCAACCTGTGTGTCCCAAGAAGTTTTGGGCTTCAACTTCCAGAAATCCTAACAGCTGGTAAACTGGCTGGGATTTCTGGGAGTTGTAGGCCAAAACACCTAGGGACCCACAGGTTGAGATCCACTGCTCTAGATGATACATGCAGAAAAAGAGATCAAAGTTCTTCATAACAATCAGTGTCTTCTGAAAAGGGACATTTTTTTTGAAACATGCCACAGGAGTATCCATGTTGTATGGTTATAGGTTCAGATACAAGAAGAAGCCACAAACTGGCTTACAGTTGTGTGTGAACCTGATCATTGTATTGATTGTTTAAATGAAACACTGTTCCAATTTTAGAGCTGTTGTGATATAATCTTTTTTTTTTCCTTCCAGCTCCCAAGTCTCCTTCAGAAAAGACACGATATGATACATCTCTTGGTCTCCTTACAAAGAGGTTTGTTCAGCTTCTGAGCCAGTCTCCAGATGGTGTTGTAGATTTGAATAAAGCAGCCGACGTCCTTAAGGTACAAAAAAGAAGGATTTATGATATCACCAATGTCCTGGAAGGCATCCATCTCATTAAGAAAAAATCCAAAAACAACATTCAATGGATGTAAGTATCACAGTCCTGTATATCTGTTGCATATGGGAGTATTTCATGCCTTCAAATTTCACCTTCTTATTTTTGATGATAAGTTTTCATGAGCTAAAGTGTTGCCTCTTTTTGGGATATTGTTTCAAACATACTTGGGAATGTGGACTGGTTGATGTGATCTTGTAATTAGTGGGATCAAAGAAAATTGAAATCCAAAAGTATGTATAATGAACATGATCTTATTGTGGCTGCTCCATTAACATTATTACTATAGTTATTGAGAAGTGACACAAACATACTTCCATAAATGATCTGACACATTATCTTGAACTTCTTGTTGAATTCTTGCAGTTAGAAATAGTGTCCTCTAAAGCTGAAGTGTTCCTTTTATTAATATTGCCATGGTATCTGTGACTGGATATGTGAATTATGTCAGTATTTCTACTTTGGCAACTTTGATGTAGAATTCAGTAATGTCATCCACAAGTTCATGTACCTGCTTATCTTCTAATGCTGTAATTTTCCAGCATGTGGCTTGTTGCATTTGTTGTAGAACAAGGACTCAGTGTCTATGCAGCAGAATATAGGGACACAAATCTGGCATCTGAAACAACAATATTTTAAAACCATTAGTTGGACAAATGTTTGATGTCTTTACAGTGGCTATTCTTGAGTAAAAAGCTTCAGAAAAAAATGCCAGAGTTCATGGGTGGGAGGGTTGCAAGGGATGGGAAATCATTATCTTTCTGATTCTTCTGATGCAAACACTTCAGTCAGCAAAATGACCTATTTGACCCTGCCTTATTGTTCAGTATTTTGGTTTAACTAGGGAGTCCTCCATAGTTCATGCTCTTAAGCACAGTATCTCAAATAGGTTTGATTTTCTCCGATCCAAAAAAGGCAATTCTAATGGAAATATCAACAAGGAAATCATAGTACCCTGACAGTTACGAACTTTCGTGCTTTTTATTTATTGGTTCTCATTTTTCTTTCACAAATGAGATCCAAGTCAGCTTACACTAATATTCAATAAAATATTTAATTAAAACACAAAACAAGACCAAAGATTAAAATAGAATTAAATTAATCATTAAAAGTTAACTAGATTAAATTAATAGTTTATAATAACTAGAAGAGTGTTTAAAAGCATGCAGTTTAAGAAAAAGAACTGTTAAAAAGCCACTCCCTTAAGCAAGTGACAAAGATTTGCCTGAATAATTTTTGTTTGTAGAGAATGGTTCAGCCCAGCTTTCTTTGGTAAGGGAGTTCTAGGGAACTGTATGGATACTGCTTTGCTATATTGGTCAAATACTATTTGACCAATATAGCTTGGTTCAAAATACTTGGTTCAAAATAATTATGTTAAGAAGGAAGGACATGCTTTTCTTAATGTGGAATTTTGTCTTAGTGGAGAAGGACTCTGTAGAAATTCAGAAAAATAAACTCTTTCCTTCAAATCCTTAAAATATGCAGAAATTAAATTTTAAAGAGCAAAATGGAAATAAGAGGAACGTTTTTTGTGTACTGTGTCACTACTCAACCGAAAATTTCAACTGAAAAGCTCCTTAATAAATGTTTAACCTTGAATTGGGAAGATCATTCTTTCAAAAAGAAAAGTCAGAAAATGAGGGACAAGCGCTAGAAACCTTTCTGTGCACAACTAAGGGAAATGTATTTGCTTTTTAAAAAATGCTTATTCAAACTTTTGATACAGAAAGGTAATGTGGCTTGCTAGAGATCTTTGAGACAAAGGTTTGAAATAAATAGACAGGTGAAGTCTTAATAGAAACTTTTTTGTTGAACCTGTTGAGCTGCAGAAATCTCTCTGAATTCTCAATACATTTGTTTGTAGGGGCTGCAGTTTATCTGATTTTGGGGGCACATTGGCACACTGTCAAGGCTTGTCTAAGGAGGTAGCAGAACTCAACCAGGAGGAGAAGAAATTGGACGAGTTGATACAAAGCTGTTCCCATGACCTCAAGCTACTAAAAGAAGATTCTGAGAATCGGAGATATCCTTTTAATGCACATAAGACTTAACTCCTTGGAGAAATATGACTCTTTATAATTACTGTTATCTTTTAATAGTATAAATCCGCCCTGAGTCCCCCCAGGGAGATAGGGCGGAATATAAATAAAGGTTTTTTTAATTGCAAATCTATCTGTCAGAATGTGTAAATCCCTTATTTTTACTGCATTCTAATATGGCTTTCATGGAAACAGTAAATATCTTGCTAAACAATGTAACTCACATCTCTAACACTCTTTCTGGGTTTCTGCAGTTAATGAAAGATTTATTTGTTGATACAAGATAGAAAAAGAACACATTTTTCGTAATCAACAAATGGGAAATATCGCTGAGCAAGTTCTGCAAATTATTCCTGCTCAATGTAAGATTAATTTGCATTAGTATCGATTTATTTTGGTAGGAGATGCTTTCTTTTATTTTATATTTCTATTCTACTAGCCAAGTAGGGATAGAACTATAAAGAGGAGCCTCATGGGGTGTGTTTTATTTTTTTTTAATGTTCATTCTTTTGTCTGAAGTGCTGCTACTAAACATTTCTTTAACATAGATTACATTAGCATACGTTAGATATGAAGATATTCGAGAAATTGGCAGCCTTAAAGACCAAACTGTAATACTTGTGAAAGCTCCTCCAGAAACAAAACTTGAAGTGCCTGATCCATTAGAGGTAAAAATAATATCATTCTTGAGTAGCATAAATAGTATGGTTTTCTTCATTAAGCTGTATGGTCAACACTAAGCTAATATTTAAAATTTACCAGTTTTTGACAAATTGCATGTATATGTTTTGTCGAATGGAATAACTTCTTTAAATGGCTACAAATCTGGAGATCAGGGTTCAAAACTGCCTTGAGTCACCTTTGGGCTGAGAAGGGCAGTATATAAATACGGTAAATAAATAAATAAATCTGCACCCAGACACTGAAACTTATTGAATGACCTTGGGCAAGTCACGCTGCCTTAGCCTCAGAAGGTAAAGGTGAACTCCCATTTCAACAATCTAGCCTTGAAAAATGCAAGATAGGTTTTCCTCAGAAATGACTTGAAGACACACAAGAATAAATGACAAGAAAATCTGAAAAATCTTTTCATTCTTTAGAAAGCATGTTTCCTGTAATTTTCTTTCATAAATGATCACATATCCCATCTTGGGCCCGGAATGCTATTAGTAGCTAGGGTATGGCTCTGAGTTTCAGAGTAATATGTTCCTCATACTGTACACCAGATGCAGTTTAGTTGCCACAGATTTCACCAACATAAGTGATAGGACGTTCTTCAGCGGTAGCTACATGTAAAACACATTGCAGTAGGAAATTGGTGATAAACTCTTGTATGGATGACTATTGTCAGATCACGTCAACTCATAAAATTAATAGCTTGTGTTCCATGCAGACCGGACCTCATTGCCACTTATGCAACCTGTGAGTCCAGGGATGTCGAGTACTCCCAGACTGTAAACCTGATTTTTCTGGAAAAGCTTGAATCCCAGTCGCTCACCAAGACATTTTTCTTGCCAACACGTTCTCCATCTTTTTAGGGTTTATTTTCAGCTTCTTCATTCATGTCAGGTTCAGCAATCAAGGACAATGGCTTCCTGGATGTTTGGTGACACTGGGAACTGAGCATCAGCAACATTATTTATTCTTTTATGTGCTGCAGTCCTTTTGTGGAGCTCATTGTTCTTCTTCCGTGTCTTGGCATGTGGTTAAGCGCAGAGATGGTGGCTAATCCAAAAGATCCAGTATTCCACATGACTTGAGTAGAGATTTAAACCTTAACTCTCCATAGCCTTGGTCCAGCACTTCAACCCCTAGAAAGATGCCAAAGAGAACCTTTCATTACCAGCCCAGCAATGCCCCCTGAATTTCCCTTCTGCAACCATCATACTTTTCTTCTCAGCCTCTGATTGTTTACTTCCTCTCTGGGTTAGGACTGCCTTGCCTATTCAGTGCATCCCCTCCATGTCAATATAGACAGGCATTCTGTGCTTATTATTACTATAAGTAGTGTGTTTGGCTGCACTTTCAAATAGTTTGGGAACTTTTATCATACACATGGCTCTTTATCAGATTGGTTATCAAGAGTGAAATGCCTAGTTGCATATCATTGTTCATCATCTTCAAGTATAGTTTTGAAAGGCAGATTAATGTCTACAAAGATCATATATGTTGTGCACAGATGTTGGTTGAATTGTTTATGTAACAAATAAATAAGAATGATAGCTATCTCCTATGTATAACTATGTTCTGTTGGAGGTAAACAGATGGAGAAAGGGTAAGCAGAAATTGGGTTTGCTTATTTCTACAGCAAAACATGGAGCCCCCGGTGGTGCAGTGGGTTAAACCGCTGAGTTGCTGAACTTGCTGACTGAAAGGTTGGTGGTTCAACTCTTGCTTAGCCCCACCTTCTACCAACCTAGCAGTTCAAAAACATGCAAATATGAGCAGATCAATAGGTACTGCTTCTATGGAAAGGTAACAGCACTCCATGCAGTTATGCTGGCCACATGACCTTGAAGGCGTCTATGGACAACGCCGGCTCTTGAACTTGGAAATTGAGATGAGCACCACCCCCAGAGTTTAACACGACTAGATTCAATGTCAAGGGAAAATCTTTACCTTTACAGCAAAACATGTATAATTTAGTTACTGGTAAAAGTTTCTCCATAGAAATTTAGTGCAGAATCTCGAAATGTGTTATACTTCAACACGGAAATAGTCCTGATAATGCATTCTTCTTGATGAAAAGTGGGTCATTAATCTCCACTAGGTACATCTCTTGCTCTGTGTTGAAATGTTTCAAAACCAAGATTTTATTTTTCTAGAATAAGCTGATCCACTTATCTAGTACTCAAGGTCCTATTGAAGTTTACTTGTGTCCAGAGGAAACGGATTATCCCAGTCCAATTAAAACGCAAGAGCAAGACCACAATGGAAACATATCAAGAAACCTTTCCAAAGGTAACTTTTAGTAACATTTTTTGAGTTTCCAATGAAAGCACAATTGAATTTTGAATCATCATGTATAATTGAATGAGGATACCATATCAGGGAATGTGAAGAAACAAAAGCCCACCCACTTTCATGCATTCTGCCTATTCCACAGCTTTATGGAAACTCCTCATTATTACAGCAAATATTCCAAAATGGAGGGAAACCAAAGTATGGCAGTTGTGAATAAAAAAAGACAGGCCCAGGTTGTTAGCATCGTAGAGTTAGAAGAGACCTCATGGGTCTCCAGTCCAACCCCATTCTTCCAAGAAGCAGGAAAATCGCATTCAAAGCACCCCCTACAGATGGCCATCCAGCCTCTGTTTAAAAGCCTCTAAAGGAGCATCCACCACAGGCTGTTGAAAGAAGAGCCTGTGTTGGCATTTGCTCCAACTCAGGTTCTTCTTTCATTTTGGAGTGAATGCCAACTTGGGTTCTTCTTTCAACAACAGCCTGGGCTGCTTTTTTTTATTCACAACCACCGTCCCTCTGATTTTCTCAAAGAAAAGGCTAGGGTCAAGACAAGCTCTTGGCACTATCCTGGCAGCACCATAACTGGAAGATAGGATACTATATGGGTGCAGTATTTCAGTTAGCCAACCTCTTTCTTGCCTTGGCCTCTTGAATAAAGAAAAGGGAGCAGTTTAAAAAACAGGCTTCCCCATCTCATTTGAATGTTGATTTTTGTTTAACTTATTTCTGAAGAGCTTGGAAATTTACTTTTTAGACTAATATTCTCAGAATTATTTACTGCCAACTTTATTGCCTGATTCTGAAAGTTATCCAAAAATGCAATCTTTATCTCTTCCCTTCACATTGCCTGTTCTGGATCGGCCTGTTGGTCATTAACATGTAAAGTTGTATTCCGCATTCTTAATTAATGCAATGCTTGGCAAAGGGGGGATAGTACATGATACATAATTACACTGTAGCTTAGTGTCCTTTTATAATATATATATTTGTTGTGAAGGATTTCATTGTTGGTTTTAATTTCTAGTGGGCCACCTTGAGGTAGGCTCTGCACCCAGGAAATCTGTGTGCTACCATTGTGCAGCAGGTTAAACCATTGAGCTGGTGAACTTGTTGACCGAAAAAGGTTGGTGGTTAAAATCCGAGGAGCGGGGGTGAGCTTCCGCTGTTAGGCCCAGCTTCTGCCAACCTAGCAGTTTGAAAAAATGCAAATGTGAGTAGATCAATAGGTACTGCTTCTGCAGGAAGTTAACAGCGCACCATGCAGTTATGCTGGCCACATGACCTTGGAGGTATCTACGGACCAGCTCTTCGACTTAGAAATAGAGATGAGCACTACCCCTCAGAGTCAGACATGACTGGATTTAATGTCACGGGAAAACTTTATTACCATTGTTGCCTAAATGTAGCATCAAAACCAATTTCTTCCCTGAGCTAAGCAAAGCAGGAATGAGAAACGGTATGTTTTAATGAGGTGAAGAGAGTTTGCTGCCTGCCTGCAAAATAGATGGTAGAGTGGGGGAAGGAACCATGGGTAAGATGTGGAAACTCTCTGTGTCAATATTTCTCATATTTTGTTTCCCCTTTTTAATGTATTGCAATGGCATTTTTTTCACAACAGATGTCATTTCTGAGAACTCAGGAAGTCTTCACTGTTCAGTAACTACAACAACCATCTCCCCACTGGCTTCTACCACCAACCTTTTGCAGCAGACCGAGGACCAAATTGCTTCAAGTCTTGAAGGGCCATTTGTGAGCCTATTGCCACCTCTGCTTCATGAAGATTATTTGCTTGGCCTTGGTGAAGAAGAAGGCATCAGCGACCTCTTTGATTATGATTTTGAGAAAATGCCTGCACTGATGGATGGATTTTTATGCAGCTGATTGTTCCCTGCTTCTCTGTTCTTCTTGCAACAATTCCTTTTTAAAAAATGAAACCAGAATGCCTGTTGTCATTCCATGTTAACTGTCCTCTTCTCTCTTAACCCTTTTCCCATTTCAGGATTAGTATACAGAATGCTTGATATTTGTAAAGAAATATTTCCTAGAATAGTATTAATACAAAGCTGCAGACTCTCATCAGAGTTACCTTAATCCAAAATCCCAGTAACTATTGGATGGCAGGTTATAAAGAATGAGGAGTGTCGTTTGTTCTGACTTACTGTGTCTACAAGCTTCATCAAGGGCTCAAGAACTATTCTAGTCGCACATAGAAATTTTTCCTTAATATTTCAAACTGTGCCTTGTATTGAGAGTGTGTCTGTTGAGTCCTTGATTTGTATTGACAGTAATAGTAATTGAAAAGATGTGTGTGCAAAATACAAAAAAAGGAACTTCTTCCAAAGTTTTCTGGGAATGTCTGAATTCTTCTCAAAGCTCCATTTTTCGAGCTAAGGTACTTACCTTTGAGGGAATTAATTTCCTCAAATCATTTTTTCTTGTAAAATACACTTTAAATATCTTACAGTCCTAGATGAAACATAGAGATGATGGTTCCAGTATACCATTGGGTATTTGGAGCAGCCAAGTATGTGTTTTTGTAACTATTTGGAGAACTGAAATCCTGTGTTACTTCTATTTGGCAGGGAAGGGAAATTAGGCAGGGTATAGATTTTATGTAGACCCCTTCCCCTCCAACAGAACAGTCGTTTGGTAGGATTTCACTTATCTTTCCCCAAAGAGCTATTCATCCACAGCCCCCTATTTTGGATGGAGCTTGTGACATGCATCCTGCTGTCCATCCTGTTGAAATACTTGTGTGGGACTTCCAAATGCATATTAACCACTAGATAGATCAGGGTGACCATTTTGTCTATTTTAAAAAACTGGAAGTTTCAAAGAAGTAGATGTGAGGGTGTCATTTTTTTAAAAAAAATGTAAACAAAGATGCACCATTCAGTTTAACTATCTGCAGTGTGCAATAAGACTGGTAGAGAAAGTTTGCGGTACAAAGTTGGGCGGTTTTAAAGTGCCTACAAGAATTGCACTGTGGGCTTTTTCTGCAAAAGGATATTTATGGCATGCTTCACTTTTCAAAACTCTGTGTTTGTTTTAGTGGGTTAATTGCCTCTGCTTCCAGTTTTGGGAGCTGATACAAAGCCGACACTTCACCCAAAGTGTAAATAATACACCTTTTAATACCCACTTTATTGAATAATAATTTATAACTCTTTTACTGGTATAGTGTATGTTCTGAGATGAATAGAATTTGCACCCGGAGTTGTGTAAAATGTTGCCATTTTAGGTTAATAGGTTGAATAACCCAAACAGTTTGCATTAGCTTTTTTTTCTATCTGATACTTAATAAAATACTAAAATGTTTGTGTTTTATATATAAATGTGTTTGCAGGTTTTCTGGTACCTCTGAGATGCTGCTATAGACACACATGAAATAGCTGAGTAAAAGTATGAAAGCTGTATGATTGAGTCTTGGAATATAATTGTGTAAAAAGAGCAACACATTAAGAACTGTTAAACAGTGTTAAGTGTGTTTTTTATATATGTACAAACATGTGCATAGTTCATTGGATATTTAAGTTGTGTGTTCTGATATTTTAGTCATCTAACAATTTTGTACAATAGGAATGAATTTATAAAACCTGCCAGAATTTTATAGCTGGTTTGTAATTTCTTGAAGAAAAAAAATAACGTGGGTCTGTAAATAATAAAAAATACAGTATTTAAAGTTTGTCTTGTGGAGGAAATTAAAAGGTTTGTGTGAACATGAATGCTTTTACAATATGAAGGACACCACTGTAGGAAGAATGAAATGAAAGGGAAAAATGTTATACACCATTTTGTACAAATTACTTACGTCAATTTCGGGGCAAAATACTAACCTTGAGTAAGCTAGTTCTACAAATCTGTAAAATAATGTAAAAAAACAAATAAAGCCCAAGAACAGCTTTGCATTTGTATAGATGGACCTGTTCTCAAGCAGTGACCTTGCCTCTTCCAATGTATGTAACTCACCATTTTTATGGTATTAAATAAAGCTTTATATCAGGAAATCATTGAATTTTAAATGCATTTTTCACCAAAGATGGCATTTGCAGGGGCAGCAAGCAAAATGTTGCAAAGTGACTAGGCTGCCTGTGTTTTCTTAGCAGTTTGATAAACGGGATGGTTTTAAATGTAGCGGCATATTGTACTTAAGCTTACCATTCATTCCACTTGATTATACAGATAGTAAAATGTACTTCGCTGTACCAGGGCTTCTTAAACTTCTCCACTCACAATCCTTTTCAGCCCTAGAAATGTTTATGTAATCCCAAGTATATGAAATAGGTATAAAAACCAAACATTTACTGATAATAAATCAGCATTTGCAAGACTTGCTTAACAGACTTATTTTCCATTTTATGAAGTTCAGCTGAAACATCTTCTACAGATGCCACTGCAAACACTACACGACAGATTCATGTAAATGTCTAAAACAGTGGTTCCTTACCTGTGGGCCACAGACCACCAGTGGGCCATGAGGACTAAAATCTGGTCCGCAAGCCTCCTTCCTCCTTATTTATTTATTTTATTTCCGCTCCTTTTGTGCTGCTTGCCTCTACTTCCCTGTCACTGACCACCCCGGCCCCCTTGGATAGATGACACCAGCTGTAGATTATTAAATATGGTTTTCTGTGGGCGAGCAGATGGCGACTACTGGATGGCATATTTTCTGTATAAGAAACTAGAGCTGATGTGGTCTATCCAATGCAGGTTTTTGAATCAGCACCCCAAATAACCAAACCAAATCTAGAGTTGACCAAAAACTGATTCACAGGCCTTTTGGTACTAGTGTTGCAGAGTGCTCCCTGGTCAAAAAAAGGTTGGAAACTATTGTCTAAAACAGGGGTCCTCAAACTAAGGCCCGGGGAGTGGATATGGCCCCCCAAGGTCATTTACCTGGCCTCAGTCAGGGTCAACCTAAGTCTGAAACTACTTGAAAGCACACAACAGCAATCTTATCTCATCAGCCAAAAGCAGGCCCACACTTCCCATTGAAATACTAATAAGTTTATATTAGTTTAAAGTGTTCCTCATTTTAAGTATTGTATTGTTTTAAAGTGTTTTTTTGCACTACAATAAGATACGTGCAGTGTGCATAGGAATTCATGTCCCCCCCCCCCAAATTATAATCTGGCCCTCCAACAGTTTGAGGGACTGTGACCTGGCCCTCTGTTTAAAAAGTTTGAGGACCCCTGGTCTAAAACAACCACTAGGTGACATTCAGAAAAGTTTACTATTGCCAGATTTGGGGCCCCAGCATTGAGCTCAGGGGACACCATTTGGGGTCGGGACCCAAGTTTAAGAAGTAATGGGCTATAACGCATATTATAATAACTATTGGAACTATATGAGGATAAGCTGCCTTATGGCCTATCTAACCTGCTACTTCCACAAGGGAATGGCAGTAACTCTCCAGGGTTTCATTCAGGAGTTAGTCCTGCAGCATCTGGATGATGCAGAGGCTGAATTGACTGAGCTAGGGCCGAACTCTGGTTATTGCTATTGATTTAGTCCTTTCCCCCATCTAAATCCAGCAGCCCTGGCAGGGTAATAAAAATCACTGATTTTTATTCTTGACTTGATTCATAGGTAGTTTACCATTGTCTTCCTCTGAGACTGGGAGAGTTTGACTTGCCCGTGGGTTTCCATGCCCAAGGAAGGATTTGAACTCCTCCAGTCATAGTCCAAAGCTCAAACAACTAAACGACTCTTTCCTACTTCAGTTCTTGCAGCATAAACATTGAATCAAATCAGATATGTAATCTGTTATATCCCAGCTCCTGAAAACGGGTAGAGAAGTATGGAAGAGCCCTAGTGAAAATTGGGAGTGTTGTGTGTGGAGCTTGAAATGAAAGTGCAGCATGAGAACAGAAATGACTACTGGAGCTGTAGCTCTGGTCTATTATTGCTATGCTGTTACTGCAATAATAGATTTATTAGAGAAAAATTAATTCTAGATTGATTAGAGAAAAGACTGTCTACACAGATGAAAAAAAAATCTGGCACCATCCCTGTCTATTGGACCTGCACTGATCCTGTTAATGCTGCACACACTTCCTTGTAAAATTGTCCTGGGGAACTCTCTTCTCCCATTTCCAATCCTTCACATTATTTTCAGCTCCCCCCCCCCTCACTTTACTGATCTTTGTGCTTTGAATGCGATTTTCCTGCTTCTTGGCAGGGGGTTGGACTGGATGGCCCACGAGGTCTCTTCCAACTCTATGATTCTGTCTACATTGTAGAAATAGGGCAGTTTGACACCACTTTAATTGCCACGACTCAATGCTATGGAAATAATGGGGACTATAGTTTTTAAAAGTCTTTATCCTTCTCTGCCAAAGAGTACCGGTGGCTCACCAAACTGCAATTTGTATTATTCCATAGTACTGATCCATGGCAGCTAAAGTGGTGTCCAACTGCATTCATTCTACACTATTGGTGCACCCCTGTCAGGCATGCTAATAAGTGTATTTTCTGTTGTTGTTTTTTTTATAATAACCACCTACCAGTAGTAAAGAACTGGTGGGATCATAGACCTGAAAAGGTAGTAGAAAATGAACATGCAAAAATACTGTGGGACTTTGGGATCCAGACTGACAACGTGTTGGAACACAATATGCCAGACATCACAATTGTGGAAAAGAAAAAGGTTTGGATTATTGATGTTGCCATACTGGGTGACAGTCGCATTGAGGAAAAGAAACAGGAAAAACTCAGCTGTTATCAAGACCTCAAGATTGAACTGCAAAGGCTCTGGCATAAACCAGTCCAGGTGGTCCCAGTGGTAATGGGCACACTGGGTGCCGACCTCAGCTGGCATTTTGAAACAATTAAACATTGACAAAATCACGACCTGTCAACTGCAAAAGGCCACCTGACTTGGATCTGCGCGCATCATTCGAAAGTACATCACAGTCCTAGATGCTTGGGAAGTGTTCAACTTGTGATTTTGTGATATGAAATCCAGTATATATATATCTCATTTGCTGTGACTTACTGTGTTCTTGTGTCAGTAAAATAATAATAATAATAATAATAATAATAATAATAATAATAATAATAATGTATTATTATTAAACGCTACAGATAGGACAGGGAAGCACTAAAAAGTAAAATCCATGTCCGTGGATAGTCTTTCTTCAGCTCCAGAAAGTTTCCAAGGAGAGGAGCGTCACCTCCTCTGACCCCTTTCCATCCTCTGAAAAGGAGCGCTTCTCCCCGTTTCACGAATCCGAAAGCGACTAATTTTGTCCCTTCTGCCGTGCCGTCCGTGTTTTCGACGCAATAGGGGGCGTGGCTTCATCATGGCGTCGCCCATGTGGAAGTAAAGACCGCGCTTGGGTTTTGCAGGTGAGTGTTGTCATGTGTGCAGCTGCTCTCCTTCCGAAAGGCGTTGTTTCTTTTTCCTCTTTGGGGCTGCGAGAGCCGGGGGAGCCAAACGCGTGGCTTTTGGCGGTGGGTCGCCCTTTGGGTGGCTGGGGAAGGGCGCAGGTCTCCAGATGGACTGCAACTCCCATCACTCCCAGCTGGGAAAGCCGTCGGTGAGGAGTGCTGGGAGTTGTAGTTCAGCTATGCATGGAGGGCTGTCCTGTCCCCCATTCCTGAGAGTGTGGCCTCGCCGTGTGGTAAAAAATACTCTCTTTTTGCTTGCTGCCGTGTGGGCCGATATGGGCCTTATTTCATCACACTAGAGAAAAAATCCACTCAAAATCCGGTTTCTGCCTCCTGTAGAATCCATGGGTTTGTAGTTTAAGGAGGAGCCCATAACAGCCTCACTAAACTACAAACCCCAGAATTCTGCAGGAGGCAGAAACCGGATTTAAAGTGGATTTTTTTCTCCAGTGATGAAGTAGTAAGTCACCTGTCAGTTTATGGCTACCCTATGAGTTCCATAGGGTTTTAAGGCAAAGAATACTCCTCTGTATCGATGTGGTTGTGCCATGGCTCTTCTAAATCTCATTGGGGTGAAAAATCGTCACTCCGGTTGGATACACACTGCCATATAATAATAATAATAATAATATTAATGATCATCATCATCATCTTTATACCCTGCCACCATCTCCCCAAGGGGACTCAGGGTGGCTTACATGAGGCCAAGCCCAACAACACATCAGTAAAAACAAAACAGCAAGCAAACACAACAGCACAATCAGTTTCTGATTCCAAATTATTTGTTTTGAACTGGATTATATGACAGTCTTCGTGTAATCCAGTTCAAAGCAGGTACTGGGTTATATGGCAGAGTACAGGCAGTGCCCAAGTTATAAACATCCAACTTATAAACAACTCATAGTTAAGAAGGGGGCGGGGTTAAGAGACAGCAGGAAGTGAAATAACTACCACTCTGAAGGGAAACTCGCTCCTGAAAAAGTTACTATCATGGGGAAAAGGTGTCTCCATTGAAGCCTTTTCACCCATCCTTGTTTCCACAACAAGCCACATTTTTCAAAATCCAATTATCCCAGAGATTGAAAGTGAGGTGAAATCTTCTGAACAGGGACACAAAAAGGAAAACGAATACCACAGGGGTGTTAACCCTTTCTTGTGATAGCCAGGGCTGATCTATCTTTCTATCTATCTATCTATCTATCTATCTATCTATCTATCTATCTATCTCAGGATTTACATTTAAAAATGTACCTGCTCCAACTGACATACAAATTCAACTTAAAACAAACCTACAGAACCCATCTTGTGCGTAACGTGAATACTGTCTGTAGATTCAGCCTCTTTGGCCACAAATGCAAGGGCTGTTTCCCATGAATCATATCCTTAAAGGTGGTGAGTGGAATGCTTCAGAATGATAATAAAGAATAATAAAACTTTATTTATACCCCACCACCATCTCCCCAAGGGACTCGGAGCGGCTTACATGAGGCCAAGCCCAACAGTACATCAATAAACAAAAGCAATAAACAAAAACAATAAATAAATTAATATAAATCACATAATAAACAATAAACAGTATCTTACAAGGAGCTATCTACCCCCTCCCCTTGCTTGAACTGGGGTGTAACAAGCCCTCTTCCACCCCTGAGCCAACGGATAATGAACAGAAGTTTCTTCTACTTGTTGTACTAGGAAGAGGATGGAGTTCCCTGTGTCGTTCTGAAACACCTCATGTGCCCACACTACAGATCTTTTTCACTTGGAGCAGCTCCCATGAGTTTAAGATTGGGCTTGGTGGGTATTTACAATTGTGGTAATAATCCCTGATTGTGAATAAGTGAAGTGTCTGAATTTAGTCCAGTTACAGTTTTGTAACTCTTACGTTGTCAATCTGTAACTACATTGCAGGAAACCCAGCCATTGTTTCTTAATTTTTACTGAGTATTTTAATTGGTCTTCTTATTTCAATACTTTTACAAACTATGGATGAAAAACAGCAGCGTAGTAAACACTTCTTTTTAATGGGATTTTTGGATCATTAAAATCATAAAATTTTATGTTTTGTATGAATTTTGTGTAATTTCTATTAGCTGCATAAAGAGGGATTTTCTGAAAAGCAGCATAAAAATGTGGAGTTCACTAAGTGTAATAAACAATATCTGTATGGTCTTGTAATTGTTTTTTTTATCATGGAGGCATCAGTTGCATTATATTGTCGAAGGCTTTCATGGCTGGAATTACTGGGTTGTTGTAGGTTTTTTGGGCTGTATGGCCATGTTCTAGAAGCATTCTCTCCTCACATTTCACCTTCATCTATGGCAGGCATACTCAGAGGTTGTGGTCTCACAATGCCACAATTATTAGAGTGAATTCACAGAGCATATGCTTCTTTATTTTTTTTAAAAAATGAGCAATTTTCCATGCTTGGTTATGGATTCTTGTTTTTGTCTGTTGATTAGTAATACCTTTATATTCTCCAGTTGGTTAACAATTAAAATGTAGAAGCATTTACAATTGAATGGTTTTGTATTTTTTGTTCCAATATTGTACATCCTTTTTTTGTAGAAGATGTCTGCAGTCTGCAATTCTCTCCTTGAAGACATTGAAGATATTGTGTCAGCCCATGATCCAAAGCCACTTGACCGGCAGTTTGCAAGACAGAGCATTCTTCCTAATGTGCGAAAACGCCATTCACAAAAAAATGTAGAAGTGGATGATGATCCCCCAAGTGACAGGTATGTGTTATCTTTTAAAAGATGTTGCCAAGCCAAAGTAAATGCAGGTAAATGCAGAACAGGTTTGAAATCTATTTAAAATCTAAAGAATTTAAGTCCTCTCACGTCTGCTCTCTTTTCTCTAATATTTTTTTTCTAATATATTTAAATGCTGCTACAGGGCTTATCATATTTTATTTGAATAGTATATACAAATGCTCAACAAATATTATGTTGCTACAATTTCTTACTCAAAGGTATTTATGAACTTTCACAGCTTGATAGTTACTGTAACCTTCTATGGACAAATGTTTCTTATGGGATGAAATTGACATTCTTGTATCTCTTTATCTGACAGCATTATTCCAGGTGTACAGAAAATTTGGATACGCACATGGGGATGTTCTCATAATAGCTCAGATGGAGAATATATGGCTGGACAGCTGGCTGCTTATGGATACAAAATTACAGGTAATCAGCTCAATGCATTTGATTTCTTTCATAGTGTTCAGCCTTGTCTAGAAATTTCAATTTGCTGTTCGGTTTTTATTTTACTTCATTTTATTTGGTACAATTTCATATCCCAATCCTCAGGCTACATATTCATCAAAGACATCCTACATATGGTATCACTAATGTGTATAGCACATATTATTAGTTTAGTTTAGACTTGCTTAGATACGTGAAGCTAGCTCTGGCTGCTATGCACAAACCATCTTGAACTGAGGAACAGTATTTGTGACTTCTGCTGTCACCTGAGTATCCCGTCATAGCCATGAGTCCAAAAGCATTTCCAGACCTGACCTTTCAGCAGTAGTGCCACTCCGACTACTTTTACTGTCAATCCTGTTTAGGATGTGGATTTAAGAGATCCTGTTTGCTTTGGAGTGCCTACACAGGCAGCCCACAAACTGGCTGGATTCTGGGACAGTGGTCACAATGAAGTGGATCCGTTGATTTTTTTTTTCCTATCTCCCCCAGGGATGGGCTGATAAAAGTAGTTTCTCAGCACTTGACTCAGCAAAGCAATGCAAGAGATGGCAATCTAGTGTTCCCATGGGAACACCGAGGTTTCCTTTCCAGGGGGAAAAGTCCTTGTTTACCTTCTGGTTAAGTTGTGTATCAGGTTTCTTATACTGCTGCTGTGTTAGCCTTGTCTACATAAGTGCTCTGAATTTGGCTGTCAGCTTTCTCCTGTGAAGATGAGCATCAGCAGATTTTATGGCCTGATCAGGAATTTCCAGTGGGATTTTTTTTATCACACTGTGTACAACTGGATTTGTGTTGTAGCTCTTATTGATGGTGTGCATTTTGTAGATACCCCAACATCAACCATTCCAGTCAGTTTTTTGTACCTATGTAGAAGGACCCACCTTCAAGAATTTTCCTCTCTACTTCCAGGATAGCTGACTTCCCACACAGAGAACTTCTGCTTTACTTGTATTAAGTTTCAATTTATTTGTCCACTATTTCATCTGCTTATTGAGGAATAACACCATATCCCTTAGGTTTTAAAATGGAAAATAGAGACAATTTGTGAGCTATCTTCATATTGGTGGTATGCTGATTCAAACCTCTGGGAGAATTTAGCTAAGAGCTTATAGATGGTGAAAAGCATGTATGATAGAATGCATTCCTTTGACACTTCACAAGCAGGTCACCCAACACTACCTTTTGATCTTAATGATCAAGAAAGGAGTGGAGTCACTAAATGGCTGTGCCTTTCTAACCCAAATTACTAAAACCGTAGAGAAAGATATCAACGTCAGATGAAAAAGAATAAAAGGAGAACCCTCAAATATGATTTTAGCATGAACTACATCAAATGCTGCGAGAGATCTGAAAAACTATAGAGGATATGGCAAATTCTGTGTTGGGGTGATTAGTAAAGTTATTTAAAACAAAACATTATTATTTTACTGACACAAAAGTACAGTTTGTCACAGCAAACGAAATCTATATGCTGGATTTCATATCACAAAATCACAAGTCGAACACTTCCCAAGCGTCTAGGACTATGTGATGTATATTATTATTATTATTATTATTATTATTATTATTATTGTCATCATCATCACCATCATCATCATCATCATCATCATCATGAAAGCAGTTGGACCAGTTTGCTTAGAAAACCTACAGCAGTGTGATGTAGTACTTTGAGCATTGGACTGCAACTCTGTAGACTAGGGTTGGAATCCCGCTCAGCTATGGAAACTTCCTCTGGGTAACCTTCGGCAAGTCGCACATTTTTAAAGCTTTCCCTGAAAGGAAAGACAAACCCTCTCTGAACAGATCTTGCCAGGAAAACCTTCAAGTTGTTTCTAATTTATAGCAACCCTGATGTGAGTTTTCTTTGCAGGGTTTTTCTAGAGGGGTTGGCTATTGCCTCCCTGTGAGAGTGATTGAGTATGACTTGCCCAAGGTCACCCAGTGGATTTCCATGGCTGAGCAAGGCTTTGAACCTTGTTCTCCAGAATCAAAGTCCAACACTTAAACTATTAAACCATGCTGGCTTCTTTACAAAGAACTACTACTTGGTAAATTGATTGTTTGTATTGGGCAGACATACCTTAACTTCATCTGTTATAAGGTTTTTCTTGTCTTATACTTCCAGCATAATTTTTATTAAGGTTTTTTTTAATGGTTTGGGTTGCTCAAATTTTTATCCAGTAGCTTTTAGCCTTTTGGGATCACAATTTTCCTGTGATTTTCCTGTGACCCAAAACTGATGAACCAAACTTAGCATACATACCTGATATGCCATAATTTGATTACTGGAGGGATTTAAGGGGAACTGATCTTCCTTTCTTGGAGTTGTAGTTCACCCACAAACAGATGATGGACCTGGACCAAACTTGGCACACACAATCCCCATGACTAACACAACTTACTGGAGAGATTTGAGGGGACTGACTCACCATCGTGGGAGTTGTGGTTTACTCTACAGCCAGAGAGCACACTGAACCCCACTGATGCTGCATCTAGAGCAAAGTTGCCCAACATAACAAATTTTATGGAGTTTCTCGGGGTTTAACTTGGCATGATGTTAGTTATACTTTATCCACAACCTTATGTATTTTGTACCATTAAAAAAATTACTTTTTCAAATAACCCGGGCAACGCGGTGTACCCAAGCTAGTAAATAATATTTCTAAAACTATTAAATGTTAACAACCTGTAGGTGGCAGTGTTGGATAATTTTTTTGTGTTCGTTGTCATTTGATTGCATTTTACATTTCCAACTAACCAGTTGAGTTTTTTAAATTCTTATGCCACATTCTAATCTTTGATTTCCTCACTAGAGCTGAAATCCTAACTGATAGCTTTTAATTTCCCACCTCCTACACATCGGATTTTTCTTGTCTTTACTGTTATAGTTTAGAATTTTATGCAGATAGTAATCACAGTTTTCAGGAACAGTGCCATTTCTGGTAAAATATAACTCCTGATAGTTTGGTGGCAAACTGGGTTTAATACTGTTCCCTAATTATAAAAGTAGGATTTAAATACATTTGTCCATTTAAAATTAAAGTTTTTATTAAGAAACCCCTGTGGTTTTGAGTGCTAGAGATCAGAGCTTTGCCTAGGAGCTTGTCTGCACAATTCAGACTTTGAAATGCTTGTTTAATAGATAAATCATTCTCCTTATTGCCTTTTTAATCAGAATATTTTAAAGCTCTTAAGTAGTTGTTAAGTGAAGCTTCTTTAGAGTTCTTTGGGCAGCAAAATGGCAAATAAAATTAAGTATAATTTTAATTTATTATATGGCAATGAGATTGAAATGCAGGTTGAATGACCAAAAAGAAACACTGGGATCGTGCTTAATATTTCTGGGAAAACATGTACTTATTCTGTATTGCTGAAGAAAGGAAATTCCATAGGGGGATTATTGAAACATCATCTAGCTAGTATAATAATGCTCTTATGTAAATCCATGTTACAATCCCATCTGGAAAATTGTGGGCAGGGCTAGTTGCCCCATTTCAAAAAAGACACAGAGATGAAAATGAGATAGAAAAAAAGGAACTAAATTATTGGTACATCTTTCTGAGAAGGAAAGGACGATGTGTTTGGTCTGTTTAGCATAGAAAGAAGGGATATGTGGTTCTGTAATTTGAGGATTTTAAAATGTTGCATGGTGCAGTGAAACAAGAAGCAGGTTTTCTTTTCCTCGGTCTTCTAAGACAAAAACTATTGATTTGGAATAGTTTCAGTTGAAGGAATTATTGCAAGATGGTTGTGACTGCAGGCTTATATGGCTTTAAAATGGGTTAAACCATTTATTGAGAGACCCGTCTATTAGTGGGTATCAGTCATGTTATCTAAATAGCTATCATTATATAGTGGTTTAGGTATTTTGACTGTCTCAGAAGATTCATTGATTTATGTTGTCTTGGGGTTGTCAGTCCCTCTTCGCCAGACCTATCTCACAAATTATTTTTTGAGGAAAGAATGTGGAAAAGAGCTTATGTGAGGGTGGAAAATCCCTTCCCCATATTTCCATATCTTGAGCCTGGCAATTGCACATATTTGATAGGCTACTTCTATGCTAACTTCCTATAGTTTAAGCGTTTAAGACCAAATCAAGGCTTGCAATATTGAGGAGCATTAACAATTTTTTTTTAAAAAAAATACATTCTGGTTTTATTGGAATTTGGGATTTTAAATCCAGCAATGACCTCAGATTTGCTCCATCGTGTATAGTTTTTCCACAGCTTTGTTTGATCTTTAAATGTTGTAATATGCAACTGAATAAAATAAGTATTGAAATTTGTGATGTGTGTGGTATGACATTTTTATTGTGGTTTTCTAATTCAGGACCCCGAATACATTTAAAACAGGTAAAATATAGAAAAAGGTTTTTATATTTCATGGCTGTCACTTGAGTATAAAGGCTGCAGGTTAGGGCTGGCTTCATGTCTTGTATCCCCTTACTTTTGAATTATAGTATTTGTGTGTTTGTTTTTTTAAGTTATGGATTTTTCTCTAGTTGGCCCTGTATCTTACACTTGGGTTAACTAAGATTTAAAGGGCTTGGCTGTTCATATGTTTTTCACACATTACTCTGGTTTTATATGTATTTCACACATTCCTTCCATGTTTCCTAGACACTTAGGAGTGTCCTGTAAGATTTGGAGATCTCCTGGCTCAAGCTGGGTTTAATAAAGGGGATACTGGTATTTCATCAAAATGGATAGTTTTAAAAGGGTGTAAGTCATGGGATATTTCATATTTGGTACAACAGCTGTATATTACCTCCAGTTTCGGAGGCAAGAAAAATCAGCTGGGGGAAACAACTATTACTTTTCATTTCTCCCAACAATCCTAGGATGTCACATGAAACTTGCACCAGATTTACATCAATGCATACATCTTGTCATTGGGGGAACTCTCTAATTTACCTGTGGGTATCCTGTTGAAGCTTTCTAGCTTCCTTGCAGTACGAATTCCTCTTGCTTGTCCCACCT